AGTTAAGGCTTTATGCTCAAGATCATGTTTTACAATTCAAGAAAGAATATTTTTCAGTGAGCCATTTCAGAAGCCAGAAAGCTGGGGTTTTTTGCTTGGGTTGAAACTTGTTTTATTGTAAATTTGATTGGCGAGGACTTTCATAGATAATAGTTGTCTTTGTCATACCATGAAAAGGAGAGTGAAAGAGTTCTGGCACATTGATTGAAATAGTGATCCTGTATATATATTTCTCAACAAGAAATGTAGTTATGATTCTGATCTATACATACTAATTTACTAATTTACTCTGTTGTCCTTTGATAAAAGTTTATAATGTTGATTTAAAATAAAGAATATCTGAATTATTTTTGAAGTCATTCTTTATATAATCAATGCATGGAAACAGCAACTAAAGATGGTTTTGGGACATTGGTATGTAATGGAGACAAGATCCTCTGTTAGAAGTAAGTGAGCAAGCACTTTAATGCTTAGTGTAGGTTCTACAAAACCAAAAAATGTTGTCATTCTATATTTAAAAAGAGAAATTTTAGAGTTCTACTCTTCCAAAGTAAAGAATGGACTTCACTTATCCTATGTGGAGTGACCTAGTAGAAAGTGTGGTCAAAACATTGAATCAAAGTAATTCTTGTGTTTAGTGAGTCTAATAGCCTGATAGCAATACTTTTAAAACTTTATTTTTGCTCTTGCATCACTTAAAGCAGGTTAATCAGAAAAGCATGTACTTTATGGAATCTGTAACATAGCTGTAAGCTGCTAAATGTTTGTTCTACAAGTTTTACATTTATCTTAGGCCTTTACATAATGATGTGCCTCTTTAAAAGCTTATTAACAAAAAATTCTTTAGTGGTAATGATCAATTTCTTACCAAGCTTTATTGTTTAAGGAAAAATTTATGGAAAGATGCGTTGCTATCCTTCGAAAAGTGAAGTTGCGCACGATTTAACCATGAGTTCTTAAAACAAACAAGATTTAGGTCTAAAACAGGCTTCTCCTATGTTGGTACATAAGTGCAAAGGTGACAGTTTAGGTTTGCTTCCAAAATTTTCGATAGAATTCTTCATTTAAAACTTACATTTTACTTGGACTTTATTAAGAGTCTCGCCTTTTTGCCACCTTTCAAGATGGCGCCCGTTAATAAATTTGCCTCACCATGACAACGGCAGTTAGATCAAAGAGCTCCGCACCAAAAAAATGGCGACATTCAAAATTGAAGGAGCGAGGAATTTTGAAATTCAACCGCGAAATACTAAAAAACTGCAGCTTTTTAGAAGTGACAATAAAAAGAATATCAAACAGCAAGTGACTTTCTATCTATTTTGAAAATTTTGCGACCTTCCTTGAGGTGTCCAACGAAACTCATTTTTAAAGCATATTTTTGAGGCACAGATCACGGACTAGTATTATCGCATTAGCTACAGAAAAGGACAAGAGCTATTTTTACTTTACTATATGATTTTATTCCAGTCATGCAATCATACAATATTATGAGATTATAACGTCATCGCAAGAAATCGTCATGGATAACTAAGATACAACAATGATGATCGTCCAGGTTAATAAAGTCCTGAGAAGGACTGTTTTTGATGTTGTTGACTGACGTTTCGACAACCTTAGCGGTAGTCATCTTCAGAGTCAAAAGAAGATGACTACCGCTAAGGTTGTCGAAACGTCAGTCAACAACATCAAAAACAGTCCTTCTCAGGACTTTATTAACCTGGACGATCATCATTTACAAACATATAACGATACTCCCGGGTTCAAACCATTTACTTTATTAAGATACAACAACATAAAAATATTAATTGATCTTAAACCAACATTCACATGAATATCGCTTGATTTTCATGTGATCAGTTCTTTTTTAAATACGATCTCACAATAAACACTTCATTGCACAAGTCACCACAGCCTCAAAGTAGGTCGATATAAGAAGAAAACAGAACTATTGCTACTTTATTTTGTTGTATTTTTACTTGTTACAAAAAAGAAGTACAAGAAAAGGTAATTTCAACATTATTGCTATAAACTGTACTATGTTAAGAAATAAATACATTTGATCATTTTGTTCTAGTAATGAAAAGAGCTCACATTGTGTTGTATCTACTGGTTTTTATTGATTTGGTCAAAATGGAGCGATAGAAGCAAATGAAGGAAAGACCGACGAAATCATTATTGGAAAAGACGTACAGAGGTTGGTCGTCTTAATATTTATCAAACATAAACATTTGATAATAAGGAGTGGGGCAAAGTCCATAACCATGAACTAACCAACGTGGGTCACATGAAAGCAATCAAAATTATTCTATAGAGCAAGAGAGAAATTTTCTCAGTCGATCACAAAAATTATTGATGAGTTTGATGTTCTGCTTTTTGGCTTTCTTGCAATAACTTAATAATTCTGATTTCCTAACACAAACACGACTTATAATAAAAGGTAAAGGCGCATTTCAAAAACTATCTCTTCTTCCTGTTAAGATATGCTCTGATATTCTTCCTGTAATTAGTAAATAATTAAGTCAAGTGTAACTAACTAAATGCTTATTTTAGGAAATACTTATGTAAAATAATCACAATATTTTTTATAGTTCCTAATAGCTTTCTGGTGATTGTAAATTTACCATATTTAGTAAAGAAACAAATATATCCATACGTAATATCTTGTATAAATAGAAGTTGTTTAACCATTGTAAGATAGATCGTTGACCATAGACACTGACGTTGAACATTAAATGTGATCATAACAGTTATCTGTAATATCTCTATTTGTTGGTGTAAGTCAATATTTACTAAAGAAGGTAGATGGCTACATCACAAAACCTAACACTCTCTAACTGACATCCTTTATCCACAAAAGTCCTAAAAATTGAAGAATTTTTTTGTTTTAGAACAAAAATAGCTACAATAAAAGTTGTGATATTTACTAAGAATGTTTCCGCTAAAGCGTTATATACAAAAGTTGCTTTTTTCAACAATGATTTTCTTACAATGATGAGTCCAACGTTTCTCACGATGTGTTTTACTTCCATAAAATTTAATACCATTCATAGTTTGTAATAAAATGCCCAGTTGACATCTAATGAAGACACTCCAAATTTTGTCTGTAGTATAAAGTTTATAAAAAAACTAAAATCCTTTCTTCCGTATTACGGTTTTTGCTTTACTTTTGCCACACAAAGACAATAGTACCATTAAAAATATTGACTTTGCACAGGGCCCTCAAAATCACTCATCACGTGGCCACCGCCCACATTGCCCTTTCCATGATCCAGCCCGGAGAACGTTTGATATTCTACTGCAAATAACATGTCATTTAGAAATAAAGATGTTAAATAAAGACGTTAACCAGTCTGTGTAATATAATATGGGCTCAAAGGTTTATGGATTGTGGTACTGCTAGGGAGAATATGTGACACTCCCCCTAAATTAGTTGTGAGACTTGGGGGCAGATTAGCCTCCTCCCCCTAAATTTCTTATTTTGTCCTTAGTTATCCCCGCACAGATATTTTTAACTCACTTTCGTACAGTAAGAAAAACTTAAAAACTTAAGATTTTAAAATTTTGAATTTAAGAAGCCCTTGCAAAGACAATCACCATTAATTCATGTCAATATTTTACTGTATATAAATTACATATAATTGAATAAATTACCACTTCATCACATTACTTCATATACATAATATTGTCACTAATATTTAAAATGATATCACGTGATGTGAAATTATGTTTATTTTGAAAAACTCCAATGTTTACTTTAGTTGTTTACCAATCAGTAAAAGACAACAAAATGTACGCTATCGTACCTGTTCTTTCATAAGATGCCCCAAACTTAGAACTAGAAAAATCTGTGGAGTGTTTAAAGCACAAGGATCTTTAAAATCATTATTAAAATGTTTCTTCAGAATAGTGACCAGGGATATACCAGGCGGAAAGCAAATTATTATTATAAATATTAAAGCCCAAGGATAAGTGGAATTCACAAGAAAACTCCATGTCTGTATACTTTGTGATTGGGTGTGTTTTTTTTTCTTTCGTGATTTCCACTTATCCCACTTCATACCATCTTATCCCACTTTTATTTTCACCTTTTTCATCCTACCATATAATTTAATATTATGTAAATAGCTATTATCTATATAAATCCCTTTATACTTGTAATTCAATACTGTCCGATGATGTCTTGAGAATTAAGACCAAACGTTACGCTACTAAATAAATATTCCTTTTTATACGTCATTTTTGCGATGAATGCCTCTTTTAAAAGCACTTTGCTGAGCTTTAATATTTATAAGTAAGTAAAATGTTTCTTGTTATGTTTACAATTGTCCCAAGTTGAAACTGTACATTTAACGTTGTATCAACTCCAACATCATGATGATAAATTTTATTTTAACCATTGAAGACAGAAAGTGAGAATTAATATTCTTCAATATTTTAATCAAGAAAATATTATCCAAAAAAGTTTAATTCCTCAATTCAAATGAACTTATGTCAAAAACGTAAAAGTTTTATTTATTTTCATCACAAGTTATTGACATGACGTCATGATGTTGTTTTTTATACGGGTATTGTTGGCAGTATAGAACATTTTGTTTCTTTAAGGTCATTTGTACATAATAAAGGAACAAAAATGATCTCTCACATTTTTCAACTAATGACCATAAAACTCGAGAGCTATGATCTATAAGACGACAGACACACGGAATTGAGGTCACAGAAAATTCCTTGTTTTTAAATGACAAACGAACGGAGAATTTATTTGAATATTTACCTGAATATATCCCTGAATGGGCAAATAAAGAAATCAAGAATGCCTAGTTGAAGCATTGGACGCATTTCAGCAAAAAGAAAAGAAAAAACCCGGTTTTCAAACGTTGATTTGCCCCGGCGGCTCGTGGCCACTCAGTTTTTATCACAATGACGTCATACCCGTGTATCTATAACTGTATAGACAACTGTTAAATGTTATCTATTTGTTAAATAAAAATAACCAAATTATCTAACCATACATTTTTATTAAAAAGTAAATCATCAACATGAAATTTGTTCAGAGATACAATACATAATAATAAGTTTGACAGAGCATCTTACAGTAGTAATCAAATCTAGAGGATGCCCTGTTTAAATGACATTCATTTATGAAGATTACAAGTAGAATCTTAGAAAGGAATAAACAAATATTCATGATGAATTAGTATAGAAGCGCTCTTTTTAAATACAAGTCATTTGTGTTATAAAAAGCAATTATACATCGTTTCAGATTATTGCAAAACATAGATAATATTTTACATTCTTTAATAGCAGGAGGTAAGACATTCCAAGAAATAGTACCGATAAATTTAAAAGATCTTTTTACAAAATTGGTCCAAATATATTTATGGTAAATATATATAATTTCTTAAAGATATCCTGGTAGAATAAGTAAACTTCTTCTGTAGAAAACTATAGTAGGTGGAAACAAGCAATCATCCTTACGACAAGCAACATCTATGTGCAATTTTCTCAAAAGTTTTTTGAATTTACTAATAAAGATTGAGTTGATTTATTTATTCAGGAACATTAAGTTTTAAAAATTGAATTCTGTATCCGAATCTCCCAACTAAAGCTAAAGTTCCTGTATTGGAATGCATAATTATATGAAACATATAATGATGTTTCTTAAATTCAGCGCAAACTTTACCACTCTTTAAATCTACAGCAATGATTGACCGACGACGCACTCCAATGCAATAACATTTGCGTACAATTAGGTAATGGAACAAAAAACATTCCATGACATTATGCATAATCTCATTCACAACACCATTCTCGTGAACATTAAATACATAAGTGACCATAACTATGGTGCCTTCGCAAAATGCTATGACTGCTTGTTTACAATCACTTATACAGCATTTGAACTTTAGATGAGTTATCTTTTCTGGAACACATTTTTCAATGACAGCTTCTATGGGTAATTCTGCAGTATGCCAAGGTTTCAAGTAAAGTTCATTGTTGTTATTTCCCCATTTCCATAATGTGTATTCTGTTTTGTTTACAGTTAAAATAACAGAATTATCAGGTGATACAGCTGCTGCTTTAACTTTTGAACTATCGACAGGAAGTCTTTTGTTGTATTGTATCTCACCCTTGGTAATTCTAACAACTTGAGCAAAACCTTTACGGTTTTTACAAACTAAGAGATCACCAAATGTTAAGATTCTCCAAGGTTTAAATCCAATGTTAACATACTTTGCTTGAATAGAATCTACAAAATTTTCAGAAGAAGTGGATATCTTCATAAGATGATCAGAACCATCCCATATCCACAGTAAACCATCTGACCACCAACATCCTAATGCATTCTTCAGTTGTATTGGTACAGTTTGAATAATAGTGCAACGTTCAATGCTCCAAATATGAATGTTGACGTGGTAACCAACAGCGAAAGCAGCCAAAAAAGATCCATCCGGTGAAAAACAACAACATCCAATATAAAATTCCTCAAAGATAAGTGAAGGTCTCCAAAGATGATCAGTTTTGAAAATTTTAAGCTTGGCAAAATACGGCACAACGTAAAATTCCTTAAACGAGATGGGATGGACATATTTAAAAACCCTATCAAAACATAGACACTCAACGCCTGGTAAATAAAACATGATTTGTCCTTGATCGTTGTATTTTGTCAACTGAGTGATTTCAAAAAGCTTTTCATTCTGTCTTGTATGATAAAAAATACAATGACGATAATGGTGGGTTGTCTTTGAAGTTGAAGATCGTAAATACTTATTTTCCCTTTGAAAAATATCGATTGCCTTTGGGAATTGAAAAACATACCAAGTCTTGAAGAATTCTGCAACAAAGAACTCTGAATATTTATCGGTGCATTGTAGTTTTTGGTAATCAACAACGCAGCGTCGATCGATTCTTTCCAAAGTTAATGAATTCCATGCAGTGAACATATCTTTAGGAAGTTCATTGTAATCTTTTACATATTCTATGAATGTTTTTACATATTCTGCTGTAATGAACAAACCAGAATCTGAGAAAGAGCAACGATTAACGACATGATCTGACTGTAAACAAGATAACAAACGTCCATTGTTAACGTCCCAGAACTTTACTTTAGTAGATCCATCACTAGTTACCAGTCTATTTCCGGTAGGTGAAAAGGAGCAACAACAGATGTTTACAATTGAAAACCAAAAACGCCTTTCTCCTGGATAGTAATAGTTGTCAAACAGGCACATAAATGTGTTTACAATAACTACATCATCCCACTTATCCCACCTTGAATCAGCAAGTGCAGTGCCTAAAGTGCATCGTTGTTCGAATTCTGGAAGCTGAAAAATAGATATTTGACCATTTTCAAATCCTACAGCAAGAAGTTCTTCATTGGACGACACACAAAGAGATGTAACGTTAGCACGCAAGGGGACAGTCAAATGATGATGGTTTGTTAAATATGTTGAGTCTAAATCCTCAAACCAAACAAACTTTCCTTGTTTCAATAAATCCCTAGCCAATAATCTTCTTTCGTTACTTCCATGAATTGTGTTTGCAATACCTTGCAAATAAAATAGATAAGAATCACAGTAAATAGAATAAAACTGGAGCTTGTACAAACGAAACAGTAGTTCCTCAAGTACATCTTTTTTCAAGAAAGTATGCCGCTTATTAATGATTTTACGCAATTCAGACCTAATGGTATACATGTCAATGTCTTCCACACACATTAACCTTGCACAAACCACTTTGACTTCAACTGCCCAACTAAAGTGAACATTTTCGCCACATTCTATCATATGGTGGACTCCATTCTTCAAAGCATATTTAATCATAGTAGTGTTCATCTGATCTTTAAAAATGTTCATCGACTTAATTTGTTTAAACACTTTCTCACAAGCATGCCATAAAAACTTATGACCATTTTTTGGATCAACTGTAAACTCATGCTGTTCGTAACCATCTGATTTCAACCAATCAATTAGAGACTTGTGATACACGGTTAAGCAATCATCATAAACTGGCAAAATTTGAGATAACAGTTCAAAGATTTTACTGCGGACTTCAAACTTGATATCAGCAGAAAAACCTAAGTAGCTAAGCACTAAATTTAATGGTAGAAACTCCCGAGAGGCAGCCAACAATTCAAGAAATTGCATAAAAGTAGTTTCTGAGATAATAGAATTTCTGGGACTTTTCTTCGTTAACAGTTCTTTTACTCTTTTGAATTGCTTTGTGTAAACACCGCTTAACCCACTAGGGATCAATTGTCTAATATTCTCGTATGTAAGATCAATTTTTTCTTTCTTTAAGCTCAGTTGTGCGTGATAAGCGTAAAGAAATGATCCCTCACATTTTTCAACTAATGACGATAGAACGAATAGATGTTTCGGCACCCGAATATTCAACTGATGTATCAAATATTTGTGCAGGTCTTTTTCGTTGTTTTTATCACGAGGGTGAGTTGTAATTTCCACAGGATTCATTTCTTTCAACTCTTTTTGAACAGGAAGTTCTGGACGACTGGTGATGAATATTTTAATCCATTTAGGCAGCCGGTCAAACTCTTCTACAATCAATTCCAACAATTCACTTTTGCCATCAACTTGGCTTTCATCTAAGGCATCAATAACCAAAAGCATTGGTTCATGATCTTCCAATGAATGCAATGGATTATTTAATAAAACACGGAATGCATCGGTGACTAATTCGTAGGAATGGTTTCTCTGTAATTCTTCATTCAGTTTACATTTAAAATCTGATATTGTATCACAGATGCTACTGGCCACTGATTCTAATAACATCCGAGGATTCCTCTCATCTGATCGATTATACCTGCAGAAATGACAAGCAGCAAGTTTCTTCTTTTCAGAATATCGTCGACACACCTCAGCAGCAAACACACTTTTACCAACACCAGGACCGGCAATCAAAATCATGACATTAGAAGCATCTTCACTTCTATCGTTAAACCAAATGCCGAGTTCTTCAAATAACCATTGTCTAGTGCCTTCAAGGTATTTCTTGTTAAGATCTTTTATAAGACCGTTGAAATTACACTTTCCAAGCTTTTCGATAACTGAATATGTTTTGCCCTGTAACAATTGTTTCATCTCTACAACATTTCTATTCATTACTTTCACATATTCTTTGATTTTTTCACTGACATCGATTAACTGTTCTTCTTTTTTATACCATTCTTTTAACATTTCAATATAAATTGCCTCATCGGTAGTGAGGGGAGCCTTCTTTAATTCATCTATTTCTGTTTGTTGAATACCCAGACCAACCAATGCTTTTGAAATTTCCTGCCACGAGCACTCAAACTCACTGTCATCTACACTAGTTGTGCTTATGTGACCATACACTTTGTTTCGATAAAACTTTATTCTTGCAATGTTTGCTGAGATTGAAGTATCTGAAGAGGAAGGAAGATTATTCCATCCACCATGTGGCGCTGTTAGACAACATATGTTACGCAATAAGACAGTCAATAATGAAATATCAAAGTGTTCAATGTCAGGTGAGCCAGTTGATGGGTAAAGAAGGTTCCATTGCTCCTTGCTGATGACTTTGAATTTTAGTGGTGTCAATTTACTCTTTGTAGAAGGATCATTAAGTTCATCTTCTAAGTTTGATGATTGAAGGTTTATAATGCTTCGCAATGTTATTTTTAAGGCTTGTGTTCCTTTATTGACCAAAAGTTTACTTAAACGAGATCCGTTTTCCTCAAACTTCAGTTTTTGAGGCGGTGAAGCCATTTTTCATGCTAGAAATGAAGAACGAGTTTGTGCAAAAGCATCAATTTGCAATGTACAAAATGAGCACAACGAGATCCATTTTCCTCAATCTTATTTTATTAGGTGGCGAAACCATTTCTTATTCTAGAAATGAGGAATGAATTTGTGAAAAAAAGGTATAATTTAAAATGTACAAAATGTTTACAAAGGTTAAAAGGTTAAATTAAAAATAGTACTACAAGTCATTTATAAAGATTTGTGTGCTTCAATTCTTTCTCTCGATAAAAATTGTGTTCACTGCCTAGTGACATGACCCAGTAATTGATCTTACATCAAGGCATTAAAATAGTAGACTTGATACCATAAAAAAACATTTAAAATAATAATATTTTCGCCTACTAGGCGCGAGCGGCAGCAGCTACCTTGCGATAGTAACTCCTAGTTAATAAATAATATATCTTATTTGTCTAACAATCGTGTGGTGAAGAGATACGTCGTTCTTATAACAGGATATATCAAACTGGTTTGCTGTGTTGTAATAATATTTGCTTATTAACGTTTTGATAGGACTATAATGCTGATGATTCTGTTCCAATTTAAATTTTTGCTAGACTGCAGTTTAACAGTCACCCAAAGCGCTAGTGACCGCGTTTTTGTTTGTGATTATAGGACAGGGTTTGGGTCAGCGTTTGGTCAGGGTTTGTGTCCGCCAAACTGCAGTAGTCGCCCATAGGACCATATCTTGACTCTAATCATATATTTAAACAGATCGTCATTTTTTACAATCTGTTAAATCCAAATCGTTATCGTTACTTATTGAAATGAAAATAAAGAAAACTATCTACTATCTGCTTTACATTTTCCTCACCAAAGCACAGAACACAGGGTGAGATATAAACAACGCGACATATGAATAAAATACCGAACAAAATACAAGTACGGACTGCACAGAGTATCAAGTTCCTTGTATTTTTTGCCTAAACGAGGTATATTTGACGTCTGTAATCATTAGTAAAACATATAAATGAATGATATTTTCAGCTGCAAGGTTTTGACTATAGTCACTAAAACAAAGTGCCAATTATACGCTCTAAAGCATAAGGAAGTGAAAAACAACATAAGTATTGACTTTATTTAAAACAATTTTATTCGTCATCGTTCGCATATGCGATTATCACCCATGACACAGCTAAAGCGTGATTCGGTTTGAAGATGCTACAAGAATTTCTAAAAATTTAACAATTGATGAATGTCTTCTGCATGATGAGATAACGTAAGAAAAATACAAATAATACACAAATCATTCATTACTTTTTCTATAACCTTCAATTTTGTAATTTTCATGTGTCCAAAACGAGAGGCGCCGGTCCATATTATATTATTGGCCCAAGGCAAAGTTGTTACATGATAGCAACTACTATCATGTAATATAATTTTTATATCATATTATAATTTCATATATAATTAATTAGAACGTTATCTAGAAGCTTGCTTGCATGCGCTAGAAGCTTGCTTACATGCGTAAACACTTTAGAACCGCAACCGCATCTGTTGTTATTGTGGTTAACAATATCTTGCTGTAACATACTGTATTGCGTATGGGATGTAGGTCACAAAACCGCAATACTTCCCATTAGATATTATATATATATCAGTAGTTTAGACCACTGAGTACAACCTACGAGGACAACCTACGAGCACAAGCTACGAGGAGAAACTTAGGAGGCATAGCCTACCGAAGTAGGTTGACAAGCTACAATATACCAGACAACTATCTTGGCTCCTGTGCCATAACTATCTTTTGGCTTCTGTGCTTTAATCTATTTGGAAAACTATTGTGAGTCATTGTTGGACTCACGAACGCTCAAGAATAAAGACTCGCGGTTGTACTCAGATAGAGGAGATAAGTTTTACTCATACTTATTGATATTGCTATTAAGACACTTATCTACTTTAATATTTACGCGTTTATTAATAAATTGTTTGAGAAATATAACTGGTTCACACTATCTTTGTTGCGTGTGGAAATAGAACCAAAATTAGTAGTTATTCTTTCGGGACCACGCACGTAACAAAAGTGTCCCCTTGCCTATTACCTCACGGCGGGCCTAGCCTGACAGTCAGTGAAATTTCTCGACTTTTTGTTCTTACACGATTTAATTCAAGTAACTAAAACAGTTAGACACGTTGGAAAACAAAACAAGTATCTTGATATCAGTTTCTCAGTGTACATGCTAAATCAAAGTTCATCTAAGAATAAATTACGTGCAAAATGAATGATGATGAAATATGTACGTTATCTGGCGTACATTATGACCACTTGAACATAATCTTTACTTTACATTTATACATTGTATTGTTTACTAAAGTGTAATTATATTAAAAAATAATGATTGATGATGAAATATATACTTTATCATGAGTTCATTTTGACCCCTGGAACCTAATCTTCACTTTACATTTGTACATTGTACTGTTTACTTAAGTTTAATTATATTTAAAAAGAAATGTCACATAATGACATGGCATCTGTGAATGTCAAGCGCATCACTGACTCAGAACTATTTATTATCAAACCTTTTCTTCGTGTAAGAGCCGCAATTTTTAAGTGGATAATTTGAAACAAAAAATGAAACCTACTTTCCAGTCGTGGTATTAAATATAGCTTTAAAAGTCATTTATAGAATCATTCAAACGATTTTCATTTGGAATGGAAATAAACATTGATTTGTTTATAGTCATACTTCATACTACGCAATGCTTCGGTATCAAATTTGTTAAGTTAGAAATGTAAATACAAAATCTCAGTTAACTTACGTAAAATTACCTTTGTTTTAGAAATAAGACTTCATATACGACGATCGTGTGGACAAAATTATGCTTGCTTTAGTTCTTTACATGTTACGTACCTAACAAAAGATAAGAAATTTAATATAAAAAACGTGACTACATACATATCAGTTAAAAAATGGTGATCATAATTCATATACATTATTGAAACATCAACTTTTTATCCATATGAGTTTTGTTACATAAACACATTTAAATAACGAACGAAGATGAAGAGTGAGTCAGGATCTCCTTCAACAAACAGTATTTTTCTATAACTAAGTATACATCACTGACTAAAAATAATTGTCATAGAAATAAAAATGCATAAATAAGAACCTTCTCGAGGAATGCGCTCCTCAGCTGGTTCACTAACACTCTTCGTTTTGAACCTTTTATTTTACAAGCTAAACAAGCTACAAGTACATCATTGGAGTATTTTTACGCTATATATTAGAGTTAATTATTTACATGTATTTATACTAACGGTAATTACAACAAAACATAAGTCAAGCTTTCCTTTTACGTCATTAGCAGTACTCACTCTTTCATTGCGTTTCAAGTTCTCACGCGTTGCACAAAAAGGAAGAACTAACTAAACAAACAAAGAACTTACAAAACGTACTTAAAACAAAGCAATGTTAAAAGGAAACTAACATAGGTACGACAATTTTATTGCTAAGCTAAAAAGAATGCAATATCCCACACACCCCCCTGCTTGAACACTTATGGTTCAAGCATTGCTGAGGTTTTCCACTTAGAGAGTCCAACGCTACGGCTTGACGAGATCTTTGTGACCTTGCTTCCTCGCCAACTTGATTAGATTCACCTTTACAAGTCTTATCTTTACGGGCCTCAACCTCATTCAAACATTTGTAACTTATTTGCAAAAAAGGATACAGCTTTTGCAGTGGCCTGTTTAAAACCCTTGATCGTCCCTTCTCAACCATTCTAACTGTTGCACCCCGAACGACCCCATCCTTACCCTTAACCAACCTCTCAATAACTGCTAACTTCAAAAACCCACGCTTTAATCCTTCATCATAAACTAACACAACGTCTCCAACCTTTGCAATTGAACCTTTCATCTTACCCTTTCCTTTGTGAATCTCTCTTAAATTCGTTAAATATTCTCTTCTCCATCGATACCAAAAATGATTTCTCAACTTAATCATAAATCTGTAAGGTTTACGAAGGCTCTTAGCCTCATCTATATCTTTGTCCATTGTACATATTACATCGTCAGATAAAGAATCCAATCTATACCCAAATATCAAGTGTGAGGGTGTCAATACTTCTCCGTCGGTCTCGTCGTAGTCATAAGTCAACGGTCGTGAGTTAACAATTCCTTCAATTTCAATAAAATTTGTGAGAAGTTCGCCGTAAGTCAATTTTTCTTGTCCTAAAACTTTCCTCAACGCTCGCTTTCCTGTCCCTACCATTTGCTAAAAAACCCCACCCCACCAAGGGGATTTTTCAAGATTGAAGATCCATTCTACGTGGCTTTGTGCTAAGTACCCATGCACTTCTTCATTGTTACGTAAATCCTTAAGTAACCTTGCTTTGAATGTTTTTGAGTTGTCCTAAACTATGAAACGTGGACGTCCTCTACGAGAAATAAATCTGCGTAAACACTTGATGAAGGTGTTCGTTGACAAATCTTGTACTAGATCTAAATGTACAGCCCTAGTGACACAGCAAGTCCAAAGCGCAATGTAAACTTTCCATGTTTCTTTCTTTTCCTTAACGTACAACGGTCCTGCAAAATCTACTCCTACATTTCCGAACGGAACTGCCTGGCGTACTAGAAATTCTGGTAAACTTGCTACTTCTGGACTAGGAAACGCTTTCTCTTCATGTCTCTTACACTTCAAGCACTTTCCTATTATACTCTTTACGACCTGTCGACCCTTTGGTATCCAAAACCGGCTTCTAACCTGAGCCAAAGTTACTCTAAGCCTGCTATGTAGAACTCTCTCATGACAAGCCTTAACGATCAGAGTGGTGAGTGGATGTGCTCTAGGCAATGCTACTGACTCTCTACCTTCTAAATCTAAGTCGGCGTTTTTCAACCTTCCCTGACATCTCAACAAATCATCCTTTTCTACAATTTCAAGTTCATGTGCTAATTGGTCGTAATTTCCCTGCAGACGAAGCTCATTCTGTGCTGTCTTCAACCACACCCTTTCTGCCTCTCTTATATCGAAAGCTTTTACAGTTCCTTTCCTCATCGCACTCATATCTTTGCCGGCACGCAAATTGTTAATAAAACGTAGAATATATGCAGTTACTCTGAGCAACTTGCCAAGATTTGCAAAACGCTGTATATTTAAAACATTTGCAATGCTACATGAATTTCGTGTCACTTGGGTTACCATTGCTGCCTTTCTTATGTCTTGGCACGATTCTGATGTCTCTTTGATCATGCAGTTAGCTAGCCTAAAACCTTCCGAACTTGATAACCATGGGGGACCCTTCCACCACAAGGTGCTTCCCTTAAGGAAAGACGCGCTGCAACCCCGCTATCCTATATCGGCTGGATTTTGTTCCCCTGGGCAATGTCCCCAGCTTGGCTTGTCGCTCAATTTCAAAATCTCATTAACGCGATGTCTGACAAATTGTTTCCATTCACCTTTGTTTTCAATCCAACATAACACAGTCTTACTATCTACCCAAAATCTACATCCAGGGCCGCGGAAGTATCTCAAAGTGGGGGCACTGACCGAAAAGGGCATGTGAGTTTGCAGCTTACTGTTTTAGTATATTACAGATATGCATTGTTTCATGAATCATGATTAAGTTTCAAAGTCTGCAAAATATTGGTAGACATTCTTAGAATGCTATGCGTATTCTCTACTATTAAAATTTCCCAAAAAATCTAACCCTACGTTCGTTTTTGAGAACAAAGTCCTTAGCTATTAAACGTCCTTAGCTATTAAACGTCGCTGAATTGTCCTAGGAGAAAAGCCTTTTCACCATTATGACTGAAAGTAACAAAGTCCTGACGCATCGCTCTTTTACAGAAGTAACAGGCAATGGTGCCTTTTGTCATGAAGTATGTGACCCATGTATATTTCAAAAATTCAAAAATATGGAAGACGGACAAGTTCGTACATTCGACGATCTTTCTGTACTGGTCTGATTTCTAGACGAGTGCTTTATTTCTTCTAGGGTAGGATGGTAAGGCTGTCGGCCTGTACAGCACAAACGCTTACAATCGAGTCCTAGCAAACATTCCCTTGACTCAATTTGCATAGGTCCTACCAATAGGGCGGTAGTCATGGAACTTGGCAAAGACGCATACGTTAGGTTTTGAGAAGGTGTGTGAACTGGTTCGGTCGGCGGCGCGACTAGTATCTCTGAAGACGATGTAGAGTCAGATTCGTGAGAATGAGGAGATAAACACGTTGATGGAGTTTCTGTAGCTGACGGCAGTGTCAAATTAGACCTAGAGTCGATGTTTTGGTCAACAACGTTCTCTGCTGGAGCACTACTAAAAAAACTCGTCAGTTTTCGCATCCTTTTAGCTCTTTCTACAAGCTCTTTTTCCTTTTCTCGTTTTCGCCTAGCAGTTCTAGGCACGATGATTTCGATTAGAAGTGATTTAAACCGCAAAATTTTCAATTATTATGATTATGAATTGTCAACAGTTTTGTAGGACCAATGGCCTGTAAGACAATACGACGGGAGCAATGCGTTGCCGTAGAATTAATAGTCTCATGTGGATCATAAATTGCGACTTCTCATTGGTTAAGTTACTGGGCGGACGCCTGCGAAGACAACCCCAATCGACAAACGCGATTTTTGATCCATCTGGGTAATCAAAATCAAAAACTAAGCTATAGCTGATTTCGCATGATGCCGACAGACTTTGTTCTACTCTCGGGGGCTACTTGTATCTAAGAAAAACTTTATCAGTCCAATTTTACCTAAAACAAGGGCATTTCTATACCATGAAAAAGGGCACTTTCACTCCAGAAAAAGGGCACATTTTCCCCTGTTGCAAAAAGTGGGGGGGCACTTGCCCCCAATGCCCTCCCGGTTCCGCGGCCTCTGTCTACATCTCAAGTTATGAACGTCTGATCCTAGTGCAATCAAAACAGTAGACATTAGTCTTGCTAGGATCAAGGCTGACATAAGTTCTAGACGAGGAATCGTTTCTGCCTTAATTAGAGCAACTCTAGTCTTCGATGTAGGCACCATTTAATTCAAAGACAAAGTAAATTACAGCACAATAAGCTTTAACACTAGCATCAGAAAATCCATGCAACATACATTTTACTGGCTTATCTATTTTTCCATTTATACATCTGTTAACAACAATCTCTTGTATTATGTTCAAGTCATTTAACCATGCATTCCATATATTATACATATTGTTGTTAATATCACTATCCCAGTCTAACCCTTCTTTACAAATATCATTGATCAAAATTTTGATTGTTACCACAATTGGACTAACTATTCCTAATGGATCGTAAAGAGTAGCTAAAATACTTAAAGGGGAAGTCAGATTTCGGAACAACTTAGGCTCAAATGAAAGAGTATTGTATTATTACTTTGCATACCAAGTCTAAAATCTTTACGTTAAATACAACTCGAGAAATAAAGCAATGAAACTGCGTTATTTTGCAAATATAAATGTACATCCGAGCGAACCTGCGATCAAGCAGCGGAATTACATCGTTACGTCACTGCGCGACTCTGTAATCGAGCAATTTCGAAGAGAATAGAATAGATGTTTTGTCTGTCAATTTTAAAGTCTTCTAGGTAAATGGCGTATTTAAACGATTCTTCGAGCGATATTTTGACCTGTTCTAACTTAAAAGATGGTAAAGAAATTTCAAAGATAAATGAAGGGTTTAAATATTATATTTTTGAACTGGTTAATGAAACGGGGACATATTTTTCTGACATGCTAAGACGAAAGCAGAAAATATGTGTATTGAAGATTCCAATTCAGAGTTTTAACGACACCACAATTTTCGAGGTATTTGTATATTTCTATATTACATTATATATATATATATATGTACTCTTTTTATCTGGTTCACCATATTTACAGTCCTCGAAATCACAGTTTGTTTATTAAAGAATTGTATTAATATGTAGGCCGTGCCCACATACTTGGCAGTCGCGGAAGATTATTATTTAAGTGTTAGATAACCGGTTTTGTAAAACTTTAAAGAAAACCTCTCCGCTACTTAAGAAACTGTTCCCACTTTGTTTTTCTGTTTTAGTACACGGTATTCTGTGTTATAAATTGTAGGTAAATCGTAAAACCTTGCTGTTGATGCCATCTTCAATTTATGAATTTCAAAGCGCTGTTGCTAACTTATACTTACACCGAACCTTATTCTAACCATAATTACTACAAAGCCCACGATGGCGTAAGAAATTACTGGCAACATGGTAGCTATTTCTCAAGTAACGGGAGCGACATGCTTCAAATTGCCATGTGGCACTAGCTATAGAATAGCATGTTAATTATCTGCACGACTGACAAAAGTAGGACATAAACACCTAGTTTTATGTATAGTAATAATAATATAAACAATCACTCAAGCTAGCTTGCAAATTTGTCCTGTGATGTTAATTTCTTAGCTTTACCATTATTAATTTCTTTAGAACCAAATTTGCAGGCTGGCTTTGTCTCATATGTAGCTATAATTTGTTCAATTGCAAAGATTACATTTTGTCAGAGTAATAAACTATAGGATACCTGGCTTGACTGTTTCTTTTTTAGCAGCTAGTTGTTTGCTGTCATATTATCATTTATTAAATACTTAATTGACTGTTTACTTGGCCTATATAAAAGCCAGGTCTGTCTAGTCATTCTCTAACAAGAAAAATTTCTGATATTTAAAATTGCCAGGTATTCTATAATTTAGCCACACCTATGTGTGTATTTCAGCCATTCGTGATCGGTGTGCTGCTATCACTTCTTTTTTGCTTGGTCTTGGAGTAGGTGCAATATTCTTTGGAAGTTTAACATGCTTGTCTGATGGTTGAGGATTCATGTCCACATTGAACTCTACCACATCATCCATCAGTTGCAGTACAAAATCAAAACACTTTTTCTCCAACACTGGTTTCACTATCCATTTTTTACGTCCTTTTGGGAAGACCACCTTATACCTTTTTTCCCCTTCTTCCTTACCTCTGGTGACTGTTGCTTGCCTCCTTCCAGTGTTGGAGTTGTGATCAATCACAGCTAGTTGAGTACGGGCCACCATTCCCTTGTATGAGAAGTGTTTACGTTTTGGTACATATTTTAGCAGCAAGGAATGGTAGACCTCAAGGTTGCCAGTATGGTGAAATTCTGTAAGCTGTTGTATATCTTTTAAAAGCTTTCTATTCAGAACAACCTCCTCCAATGCTATATGTGGGGCAGATCCAGCCTGCAACCATTTCGTTTTTCTTTCTTTGTTTTTAGATAAAGGGCCATGTGCACATTTGCAAAAATGTTTGCTATTTCTCCAATTATGTTTGTTGACTATATGATGTAAAATGGACACCCATTTCTCATGGAGCACTTCAGCATTTCCCTGACAACTTTGTGCACACCACCAAAGGTGATTGGATACAGACTGAATCCACTCTAGTAGCTCATGATTTTCTTTTTTCTTTGCCTTCTCTGTCAATTTTTTTGTCACCCACTTTGAGAGATGCCAAACATCATATTGGTGCACTATGGAAGGGTACCTCTTTCGCATTTCAGAGGTTATTTGAATGTGGCGGTCAGTTGTCAATGATCTCACTTTCACACCTTGCTCAATGACATTGTCAAGTGCTCTTTGGCATCCTTTTTTCTCCATTGCATTAGAGGATGAAACTTCAGAGACTTGAACAAGAGAAAAGTCAATAATTTTCTCTGAAGTTTCATCCATTAATGTATATGTACCATATTTTGCGCTATGACCAGGACTGTCTGATCTACCATCACCACATAAGTCAACCGGTTTCATTTTGTTTTTGATGGTTTCAATAATTTTTTTTGTTGTTTTTATAGACATTGTCAATGACTGGGAAGACAATCTTATTTTGAACTTCATAAAACTGATCTTTATTTACAAAGTTTAAATTAATTGCATTTGCAAATTGCTTGGTGGCTTCATAGGTTCCTCCAGTCATGATAGTTGCAGCAGGAATTAAAATATTACCTGCTGGTTTATTGTGCAAATCTGGTTGAGACTTCCACTGGTAAGTATGATTATTGCTACATGTTGTTTTTATGGCAACCATACTACCAATATGGGACTTCTCAATCTCACAAAGAGAACCACATATTCTACATGTTGCGAACAGCTTATCAAGCATGCTTTCAAAGACAATGAATTTTCTTTGATTTTTTAGTTCCTCACCTTCAGATTCCTCATCTGTATCTAGTTCCTCAAGATAGGTATAATCATCATCTACAAAATAGTCAAACTTCTCAACCAAGAGAGTACAAAGCTAATTGTTTAAAGAACAGTTCAATAACTTCAAATATAATCTATATGGTTGCAATATCCTATTTACCTCATATCTTGCAATTCTATCTCTCATTTGTTCTCTTCTGTGTGACATTTTTCGCTCGGGTTTACGATTTAAAAATGGAAATATCGATGGTACACTACTAGGTTTTAATATCTTTTTCGATTTCATGCCGAATATCTCCTTTAGAGAAGTACTAAAGCAATCTGGGGTGAAATGGTCGCTACATACGTAACATGAATTTGGCTTCGGTATATTATCACGACGAACCCGTGCAAGCCATATTTTTTGCATTGTTGGGTCGTTTGGCAATCGATGATACGATACATCGCTACGTTTTGTTTTTCTAGATCCGTTAGTGCAATTAGGCACCATGCAATGTGGCATTGACCGCATTGTTCCGAAATATTTAAAGTAAACAAAGTAATTGTAATTGTGTCGCTTTTCCTGATATGTTGTCTATTTGAATATATATACGCTCCCGCGAAAGCGCGCAGTGACGTCACGAGACTTTACCGCTGCTTGATCGCAGGTTCGCTCGCATGTACATAATAGCTGATACAAAATATACAAAATTTCGTGGTTTCATCGCTTTATATCTCGACTTGTATTTAACTAGAAGATATAATATTTGGTATATAAGGTAATAAAAATATAATCTTTCATTTGGGCCAAAGTTGTTCCGAACTCTGACTTCCCCTTTAAGATGTTACGCCAAGTTGGCTTGACCCCCACTGCCTTTGATGCAATTCGGCCTATTTCAAAATGAAAAGTATCACAATGAAAACTTCACGGAAGGCCTAGAATCCTTTCGAATTTCGTCTCATTGTTAGCTCCGAAAGTGCTACTCGCAAAAAAGTCCTCTTCGGCTTGTGAAAGAGAATTTATAACAGACTCACCCTCTTCCCGTGAGATCATTTTACGAACTTTCGCGCTATTACTCAACCATTTTCGCAATCGAAATCCTCCATTCAACAACACTTTTTTCAATTTGGAGTAAAGTTCTATCGCATCGTTTTCAGTTTTATCTCCCGAAATGAGATCATCTACATAAAAACTATTTTTAAGTTTCTGAACAAAGTCGCGATCACGTTCAACAAATTTATCAAAATGGTAACGAAGTGTCGCATTCAAAAGAAATGGAGAAAAGTTCACGTCAAATACAACTCGACAAAATCGGAATAAGAATTGGTGTAATAGTGCAAGAATTTACGTCGCCTACCCACAAAAATCGTAAAACATCGCGGTCTTCTTTAGCGACTTCAAGCATTGAGTTGCTGAGGAAGACTTTCTTTCCAATCGTGGCAAAGAGGAAACTTTGTAATTTTATATTGTTGAATGTTTAGTATATATAGAGGCTGCAAACGCTGTTTCTGGTTGTTTCAATACGCATTTTTGATGGTCGAATTTTATCGACGCATTTGATTAATGCATTGTAACGCATTGAGTTGAAGTCTTGAAAAGACGAATTGGATAAGCATTTTTTGATTTTAATACTCGTGGTAATGAACCAACGTTTGTCTCAAAAGAATCGTGATTTAGCATCCCGCACAACAGAACGCTTAGGTTGTGCGACAATGGCACTATAAATCTATAATTACATATCAATGTGGTAATGTATAATTCATGCAAATCGTTCGTGGTTGATTTAAATATTAAAATATAGTCGTTTTGGTTGATAAACAGATCATTTGTGTTTATATGATGAAACGCAATTTGATATACTAAGCATAAATATATATTATCGTATTGTCCAATAGATGTAGCGCTATTTATCTTATAGTTTCGTTTCACGTTGATTTTTCTTTTCTCTGAAGTTAGAATCATCTTATATACGGTATAATATCATCTGTGTTTCTACTGAAAATGTGGATGCACAGTCAGTGAACCCGAGTGGACGAGTATTCAGCCATTTAGTCAAACCTTACAATACAACGAGTAGCTAAACAATACCGCTTTAAAATCAATGTTTTACATAATTTTACTCACCAAATATGATCAAAACGACTATTTCTTCATTTCCACACTTATTATTTCGTTCCACAACGTAGAGTCACAGTTTTATATTGAAATATTTCTTCAATTTTGTCTTTAATCCTATTGTAATGTACACATCATTCAAATGCAAGGGATGGGCTCATCACGAGATCATTCTGATTTACTTTCGCACTTGTAACTGGATACAGCTGAAAAGTAGACAATAATCATGTTCATTGTCCATAGATGGTTCTATTTATATTTTTGACATAGACTTTTAAAATAAGTTACCAATATGATTCCGAAAAATTATTAGAATAGAAAATAGGCCAAAATGTATCCAAATATTGATCCAAATGGCCATTTTTTATCACAGTTTGACTTTGCAAACCAAAGATCAGCAGCTATAGTCAGACAATAGTTGGTACTACTTGAGTCAGTCATTTTCAAACCAATAAAAGGATCATTAAAAAAATACATAAATTATGTTGAATTCTTTGTGGCTTTAACCGTTTTGTGTTCATAAAAATTGGAAAACTGAAAAACAGCAAAAGAAATGAGCAACAGACAGTTTTTCTGGCAACGTAACCTGGCTTGTCGTAAATTTTATCAATTTATCAATAATAATATGGACGATGTAAAACTTATCAGTATAAAATAGTATACGGGAAGAAATTTTCATGAATAATAAAAACAAGTGAAGTATCTTTCTCTTTCTGTAAGCATGAACATTACTAAAGAAGTAAGAGCATTGTAAAATGGGAACTATTTACGTTAAATTACGCACATGCATTTGTCATGGGAAGTTTAAAGCATTGAGTTGCTGAGGAAGACTTTCTTTCCAATCGTTGCAAAGAGGAAACTTTGTAATTTTACATTGTTGAATGTTTAGTATATATAGAGGCTGCAAATGCTGTTTCTGGTTGTTTCAATACGCATTTTGATGGTCGCATTTTATCGACGCATTTGATTAATGCATTGTGACACATTGTCCAATAGATGTAGCGCTATTTATCTTATAGTTTCGTTTCACGTTGATTTTTCTTTTCTCAGAAGTTAGAATCGTCTTATATACGGCATAATATCATCTGTGTATCTACTGAAAATGTGGATACACAGTCAATGAATCCAAGTGGACGAGTATTCTGCCATTTAGTCAAACCTTACAATACAACGAGTAGCTAAACAATACCGCTTTAAAATCAATGTTTTATACAATTTTACTCACCAAATATGATCAAAACGACTATTACTTGTTTTCCACACTTATTATTTCGTTCCACAACGTAGAGTCACAGTTTTATATTGAAATATTTCTTCAATTTTGTCTTTAATCGTATTGTAATGTAAACACATTGAAATGCAAAGGATGGGCTCATCACGAGATCATTCTGATTCCTTTCCTTGTAACTGGATACAGCTGAAATGTAGACATTAATCATGTTCATTGTCTATATATGGTTCTCACCAGATTTATATTTTTACAGAGACTTTACCAATAAATTATCGGAGAAGAGATCAGTTGCACGAAGGTCGAATAACGCTATCCATTGAATTGAGTAGCAACGTTTTTGAGCGCTTCAAAAATATCTTAAAAGGAAAAAATCAACGATTCGAACTGGACAATAAATGAAATACAATATTGGTTCTAGAATTACAAAGTTTCATCATCATAAACAAAATATAACCATGCACATTCACAAATTTAAAAAACTACTATCCAATGGATAACGCTATCCACGCTTCGTGCAACAGGCTCCAGTATAAATTTAAAAAACTACTATCCAATGGATAACGCTATCCACGCTTCGTGCAACAGACTACAGTATAAATTTAAAAAACTACTATCCAAAGGATAACGCTATCCACGCTTCGTGCAACAGGCTCCAGTATAAATTTAAAAAACTACTATCCAATGGATAACGCTATCCACGCTTCGTGCAACAGGCTCCAGTATAAATTTAAAAAACTACTATCCAATGGATAACGCTATCCACGCTTCATGCAACAGGCCCCAGTATAAATTTAAAAAACTACTATCCAATGGATAACGCTATCCACGCTTCGTGCAACAGACTACAGTATAAATTTAAAAAACTACTATCCAATGGATAACGCTATCCACGCTTCGTGCAACAGACTACAGTATAAATTTAAAAACTACTATCCAAGGATAACGCTATCCACGCTTCGTGCAACAGGCTCCAGTATAAATTTAAAAAACTACTATCCAATGGATAACGCTATCCACGCTTCGTGCAACAGACTACAGTATAAATTTAAAAAACTACTATCCAATGGATAACGCTATCCACGCTTCGTGCAACAGGCTCCAGTATAAATTTAAAACTACTATCCAATGGATAACGCTATCCACGCTTCGTGCAACAGACTACAGTATAAATTTAAAAACTACTATCCAATGGATAACGCTATCCACGCTTCGTGCAACAGACTCCAGTATAAATTTAAAAAACTACTATCCAATGGATAACGCTATCCACGCTTCGTGCAACAGGCTCCAGTATAAATTTAAAAAACTACTATCCAATGGATAACGCTATCCACGCTTCATGCAACAGACTACAGTATAAATTTAAAAAACTACTATCCAATGGATAACGCTATCCACGCTTCGTGCAACAGGCTCCAGTATAAATTTAAAAAACTACTATCCAATGGATAACGCTATCCACGCTTCGTGCAACAGACTCCAGTATAAATTTAAAAAACTACTATCCAATGGATAACGCTATCCACGCTTCGTGCAACAGACTCCAGTATAAATTTAAAAAACTACTATCCAATGGATAACGCTATCCACGCTTCGTGCAACAGGCTCCAGTATAAATTTAAAAAACTACTATCCAATGGATAACGCTATCCACGCTTCGTGCAACAGACTACAGTATAAATTTAAAAACTACTATCCAATGGATAACGCTATCCACGCTTCGTGCAACAGGCTCCAGTATAAATTTAAAAAACTACTATCCAATGGATAACGCTATCCACGCTTCATGCAACAGGCTCCAGTATAAATTTAAAAACTACTATCCAATGGATAACGCTATCCACGCTTCGTGCAACAGGCTCCAGTATAAATTTAAAAACTACTATCCAATGGATAACGCTATCCACGCTTCATGCAACAGGCTCCAGTATAAATTTAAAAAACTACTATCCAATGGATAACGCTATCCACGCTTCATGCAACAGACTCCAGTATAAATTTAAAAACTACTATCCAATGGATAACGCTATCCACGCTTCATGCAACAGACTCCAGTATAAATTTAAAAAACTACTATCCAATGGATAACGCTATCCACGCTTCGTGCAACAGACTCCAGTATAAATTTAAAAAACTACTATCCAATGGATAACGCTATCCACGCTTCATGCAACAGGCTCCAGTATAAATTTAAAAACTACTATCCAATGGATAACGCTATCCACGCTTCGTGCAACAGGCTCCAGTATAAATTTAAAAAACTACTATCCAATGGATAACGCTATCCACGCTTCGTGCAACAGCCCCAGTATAAATTTAAAAACTACTATCCAATGGATAAAGCTATCCACGCTTCGTGCAACAGGCCCCAGTATAAATTTGAAAAACTACTATCCAATGGATAAAGCTATCCACGCTTCGTGCAACAGGCCCCAGTATAAATTTGAAAAAAATTGAAAAGAATAAAGGCCAAAAATTGTCCAAATGGAAACCGCCAAACTGTTTTTCTGAAATTCCAGGGTCAAAGATCAAGAGATGTATTGATGTATTTTGTACTAAGCACCGATCGGCATAACAGACCTTCAATTTCTTATTGTCGTATTGTAAAGAATCTACGAAAATTTGACGAAACTTTTAGATTCAATAAATGATTAACTTCATTAAACTCCTTGAAAAATATGGGTATGTACCTCATACGGTTTTGATACATGTTTGGATACTCTTTTCTGTGATGATTTTTGTAAGTAATTTATAATAACTTCATAAAGTAGAAAGTTTGATTAAGGCTTTGAAAATTAAATTAATGTCCTGTTTTTATAAAAGATCGAATTGTCTTTCTAGCATATTTTTTCTTATATTCATATAACAAATAGCTCTTTCCTTTGAAAGAGACATCGTTCCTGCAAGTTCAATATAGTACGAGAATTTTTTTGTGAACTCTATGTTATACCTGGTGTAGGTGACGTAATATTAAAAATAGAAAAAAAATTAGACAAAAAATGTAAAAACCTAGGGATACATATGTCATTACCATCTTCAAATTCCTCAAGGATATATCATTTCCCTCATTAAATACTTTAATAGTTTGAGATTACTTTTATAAACATTTTATAATTTGTATTTGAACATTTACATCAGTAATTATACCAGTAAAGCAACTATAAATAGTGTCGATAATTCTGTCAATTAAACGCCTCTCTGGTTCAATGGAGTCTGGTGTATCACCAACAATATGACCATAAGCAATGAGTTTCTAAAAACAAGGAATATGAAATATAGAACTTTATATAAGATGAATGCATGACTTACATAGACATATGGAGGGATAAAGGATTCTGGTGAAAAGACACATGGGAATTTCGAGGATTGGAAATGACTAATTACTGTAGATAGATAAGGATAGCAATAATGACAAATTTTTTGAAGTATGGATCCTCTAGCTTATTCTGGGAGGAATTTTGGAGGAAACTAACAAAAAATGTTTTGTAGCAACTTTATTTTGTGCTATCCAATTGTGATGGCTTAGAGACAACGAAATGACAATGTTTCCGAGATTAAATCTATTTCTTACAACTAAAGACTCAAGTGCGATGGTAACAATCCTGGCACATTTTGTTTTGAAAAACTTTTTCATTAATTAAATTTATTGCTAACTAAAGATGCCAAGTGTATTTTCTGTATATTACATAGTAGGGAGTTTTAGCAAGAGTACGACTACGACAACGAGTACGAAATTTGACCGTGTAAGAGAATGGCACGAGGAAGTTTGTTGTCGTTGTCCCTTCGTCAAAATTTTGCTTTAGTTGTAAACAACAGAACGAGCCTTTTTATTGTGTAAAACACCGAAGTTTGCGAAGCAGCTACGGCTCTATTTGTCAATTAGGATATCAATGAATCGGTAATACTGGTTTTGCAAGAATATAGGACTCTTTAGACTGAAAAATCTTCACTATTTTAAGTTTTATGTACGATATATTTGTACTATTTTATTGTTTGTTTACCGTTCACTTTAGGTACGAAAGACATGAAACTTTTAAAGGTCATATTTTCCTTTTAAATGTACATCTGCGCTCAAAAAGGGTTCTAAATTAAAGCCTGGATGCTCGAAAATAGTACTGTAAACTAATTTCTTACAGAATGAAGAAATATACCTACTTTCTTTGCTTAAAAAGACATCGTAGTCGCGACTACGAATTTTTTACAAAACATCGTACTCAGATTGATGACGGCTACGTGTTTTTGTTGTCGCTACAATGTTTTCGCTCCAAAATGACGTAAATCGTACTCGTAGTCTTTGCTAAAGCTCTCTATTCTGTGCTTCAGCTAAGAACTTTGTTATGCTACCAAGGGGAACTCTGGTAAAACAACATCACAACCAAGCAATTTATCTCAGTGTTGCCTACAATGACCGTAATTACAACTGACCTGTAATTCAGCCATAGTATCTTCATCTTCTCGCTTGCTGGTGCTTGGGAAAAAGACGACATTGTCGATCATTTGGATAAGTTCCAATTGAACGACACACTTAATGATCAATGAATTGAACAGCATCCTCTCCGTCTTCACAACTAAAATAATGAGATGATTTTACGACGTTAAAGTACATACATGAAAAAATTAAAAAATGTCACTCGGGTGTTGGTTGAACATTTCCGTATTCACGCTCAGACGATTTTTTCAATACAACTTTTGAATATGCCACCCAAAGGGCTAATTTATCTTATTAGTTCTATTAGTAACCATTAACAACATTATTGTTTCAAACATTGCAAAAAATGTAAATTTTTAGAACATAAGCAGTTTCAGGAAATGTTACATGACGTCGCTTTTCACTTCAGATTGAGTTTTTCAAACGCATATATCAATTATACGTTTTGCTACGCCTTTCCAATAAACCAAAGTAAATTAAACACGTAAATGGCAGTAGGCTGTGACAAAAAATTATTAATCTCAATTGATTTCTAACACATAGTTACCTGGTTCGTGTTCTTCGACAGGTTCAACTCGTAAACTAGGTGTACTATGTAAACTAATGCTGTCTTGTTCTTTGGTTTCTTCAACTGTTTCTTGAGGCATTTCCTCCTCCATTTCATTCAAACCTTTTGACGATTGCTGGCCATCTTGTTCGTCCTCGTCTAAAAATAATACGGAAAATTTTCACTTGTTACTCAAAGAATGCAAGCTGTTGGTCCATACGAGTTAAAGATTCACACGAGCTATATTGCAATATGCGAACTTTTGCTTCATATGAGCTTTTGGTTCAAATGAGCTTTTTTAATATGCGAGCTTTAGCTTACCGTGAAATATTTTCCAATCTTATAATCATGGTGACAATTGAAGCAAAAATATTCCTTTAAAAGAATTCACAAACTTTTTCTTTACCTTCCGGATATTTGGGCACGATATCATCCTCCAGCTCGACAGATGACATTATCTACAATATACGTCAATTTTAAGGGTAATAAATACATAAAACAAACAGAATAGTTATGAAAGTTTGTGAAAAATTTTAGAGTGTCGGGCTTTAAAACTTAATAAAAAATACTAAGGGGCGGATTACATGATCCCGTAGCCGGGATTAACCAAATGTTAAATCATTTTGGCAAATGGAAACGATTCAATACTTATCATCAGATAAATCTTCTCAAGCAATTTCCATTTCAATAGTTCGTGAGGTACGGTTGATTCAAATATCGTCTTTACACATTGACATGTCTTTTCCCAAACTTCTTCGGAGAACGTGTTGCCATTGGATATGACGAGATTTTTCAAACAATTGGTACCAGATCTCGCTAACTGCTCGTTATCTAAAGACATGTATTGAATGAACGAGCAAAGCAGGACATGGTGTTACAAAGCATTTACAGTCGAACCTGTAAGAAACTCTGATACTTCTTGTATACTAATGTACCTCAAACCAAACCAATCACTAACTCTGATATTTCAAACCAATCACAAACTATGACAGAACGAAAGAATCACCAAGGCGTATGCCAAGCAGAAACGCGTTGCGTAATCTCAAGCTTACCTTGTTTCACACACCACTCTAGATGGCGATACATATCATCAATAAGAATTTCAGCAAGAATATCAAAATACTGAGTAAAAACATCGATGATAGCATATAGAGCGTGATTACAAGTTGTTGTCATCCATTCTTGTTTCTATAAAAAAACATCACAAATTTCAAAACATCCTCAGCTGATGTCTCACTTTATAACGAGGAAATACAACACCTTATACACGGACTTTATTCTATGTAAAGGAAACGACCTTTCCAATAAGACCACTATAATGACATATTATCAACTACGCATTTTCAACCGTGGTCGATTAGGGGAGAATGGACAGGCAAAAATGTTTCTGAGCCAATCATAGTGCGCCATTTAGCCGGAAGTGACGTTTGCCATATAATGAGAGTACAATAATGACAGTTTTCTAACCTCCTGCCAATCTATCTGTCTGTCTGGTAGTTTCATGTTGTCGAAAATTCGAAACACGACTTTAAACACATCTCGCCACCAATGTTGGAGAAACGTGTTCCCGTATGTTTTCATGATTTCAAACATTACGGTTAGGCCTCTAGTTGATGGATGGTAAATAGCTCACATTCAAATTATACAATACATACTAATCTATACAGTACATACAGCTAAACATTTCCACCATACCTTGTTCTGACATCTAGTTTACATCGGTTGATGATACACGAAAGCTCAAAAAGGACTGGAAACCAGCCTTTTACTCAGATTCTGTCCTGCTCTGATATCCCAGCATCCTCTACTCCGTAGTCTTTAAACATCTGTTTATAAAAGAAAAGAAAACAGACGCCATTGGAAAATGCTACACGAAAAAGCGATTGAAATAGATGATTTGGATTTGATTTGATTCAAAGTGGTTAGCTTTGATGTGATTTTGCAAAATTTTAAATCATTTCAAAGGTGAAAAGAAAGTAGATTTGCAATCGTCGTACCACAAGATTTTCGGAAAAAAATTTGGCGCCATTTCGTATCATTGCTTAAATACTCGTGTCCAGGAAACTTGCGTTGCATGCGAATTCCGAGAAACACTTGACGGAAACTTGGAAAGAGTCGATGGTCGCGGAGAAATATTTTTCAAAAATCGTGGCTGAAAGAGAAAATGGGGGATGTGAAATTTATACACTGATAATCTTGTGGGATAAATGAATCTGTCAAAGCTTTGATTTACAAGTGCCGTTGAAACAGTAGAGAAACAGGGCTAGGAAAGTTAAAATAACTCTGCCTTTTGACTCGTAATTTGCATCAACTAAAAATGTTTCATACATTTATTTCATTTCTTCATTAACTCTCGTTTAATTTTCATTCATGCATCATGAGGCGAACATCCATCGACTTCATGGTAAATAAATGTTTACCTTAAAAACTTATACAAATATGGCTGAATTACCATGAAAAGAACAACACAGAAAATTCTTGTTACAAAATAAACGAAGTTCTCTGTCACATCCGAGAAACACATTTACTTGAACGATATTCAAATTCAATTTGAATTTAATTTAATAATATTTTACAGATTTCTAAGTAGTTCAAGCTTGGAAACGGATTCACCATCATGTCATCAAACATATGCAACCATTTTTATTTTAAAATTTTAAAATTTGCATCGATACAAGAACCTTACCCAAGAGAACAACAGACAGGTCGGCGGTAAGATTAGAAGAAAAAGCTCCTTCCTTAAACTTCAAACCTGTTGTTTGAAAAGCGAGTTCCACGATTCCTTCATCATGATCGGACGCAGCCAAATGAAAAACGGAGAAAACATTTTTCCAACCAGATTTAATGTTTGCGGCTTGCGAATGCACCATTTGTGTAACACATCGTACGACCATATCTCGAATTGTGGAAGAACTAAAATGTGAAAAATTCAGTTGTTGATTCAAGCAAATCGTAGACTGAAAATTGCAGTCCTTGTTGCCAAGTTCATAAAGATATCGAAGAAAAAATTTGAATCAAATCCTTCGAATTATAACAGACAAAACAGAGCGATTGATTGAAAGACGTCATTTGTAAAATTCTTCGTAAAATTTCAACTTGGAAAAGAATCTGCAAAGTCTGCCACAAGTTTTGTTTATTTGAGAGAAAGATTTTCAAGCTGCCAGAACTTTACATTTTCTGACAGAATTGACTCCTGCATAAACTTACCTGTTTTTCTTCACTATGTATTCAAAAGGTCGGAGAAAATCATTTTGAAATCGAAAATTTGGCAATTCCCCCTTTTCCAAGAACTTCATGGATAATTGTCGCAAAGAGTCGACACCGAAGAACGCAACTTCTTCATTAGGGTTACAACCACACTAAAATGGCACATAAATTATCTAAGATGGAGAAGTACTATAGTTGGTAGAACATTGGAGATGAAGGCAATGATTATCTTGTTTTTATAATTGAGATATGAAAGAAACTAGGACTGTCTTTTGAAATATCATCATAGTTCACAGTTGATCTTGTAGTTTAGTTGGTAGAACATTAAAGACAATGATTATCTTGTTACTATACCTGAATACATCATAACAACGTGATGTTATTATCCATAATATAAAGATACAATCTTAGTCGTTAATAATCGCTAACCTTGTTAAAATGATCTCCAAACACAGCCCATATTCGTGACCATTGTAGCCGAATACGACCCATATTGCAATAAGCAATCTCTACGATCTTCTGCAGACTAAACATACGTATCATTGTAGGATTGGAAAGCTCAACTTCCGAAACTTGACGTAAGCCTTCCACGAAATCGACTTAGGAGAAAAACGATAACATTTCGAGAGTTGGATACAGAGGATAACGATACTTAGGATTTGAGAACTGGGGATTTGGATACTGGGGATTTGGGATACTTGGGATTTGGATGCTTGGGATTTAGTATTTGGGAACAGGGGATTTGGGTACTAGAAATTTGGGTACTTGGGATTTCGAGTATTGGAGATTTGGGCACTTGGGATAAAGGATGGTCAGTGAATTATGGTCAAGTTAGATGTATAAAAATCTTATGTAAGATGCAGTTTAATGTATACATGCAAATCTACCGATAGCATCACCATCCAGTTCCACTGATCCCGTGAAAACTCTAAACGTAATAAAACACAATGAAGAAGTTGAGATGAAGATATTCTGCTGAGAGAACATAACGTATGGACAGTGCACGAGTTCTTCAAAATTATATTTTTATGTTTATGTTCAAGTTGATTCTCTCTACCTCAAGCCAAGATTTCCCGATGTAATTACTATCCGTTTGAGCGATGGTAAGAAGTGTCTTGATCGTCTCGATATTCTTCGTTTTCATTTCATAAATATGCGTGGCACTGGTCGCAGTAACTAGAATGAACCTGGATAGCGCTGGTACGAAATCATCTCTTTCCAACTACAATGTGAAACGAGTTATTAGGAGTATCGAAAAATGACCTTAATGGTAAAGAATCTCCATTCATATTCCCTAACATCATTATAACTAACTGTAATCATTAAAAAACTTTTAATAAAAGACTATTTCACATTCACATGGATCCTGATATATCCATATATGTACACAAACAGACAATTAATTCAAAGGTAAACAAAATCTGTTTTTATAGTATACATATGAGTATCATCTAAACCTAAAACATATAACACGCAAAGAACACGACGTGTATGTAACTACGT